ATTCTTAGGGGCAACCTGCAGTTTCGGTTAGCATACAGCTAATCCAGAAAGGAGTTGGCAGGAGGGGCTAATTCCACACACCCCAGAGACTTTGCGATCGTCTCTGAGGTCACTGGATCTCCCCTCACCGTTCACTGTCTTCTCCAGGACAGCTAGGGTCCGACGACCCATCCAAAATTCCTTCGGAATAGGGGAATTTCAGGAATAGCCTGAAACTCCGTCTTCTCACTGCTAAGCCCCGCCTTCTTCCAAGAATGTTTTGAACTTTCTTAAGGCAGCGGGAACGACAAAGCTCTTCCAAGGAGGGGAGAGGGCAACCAATGATCCTTTGGGCAATGATGTTAACCCTCTGGAGCGTTCTCCTATCTGCCACTGTGCAATTAGCAAACCATACACAGGTGCAGTAAGTTAAGATACTCTCTCTAGTGCAGAAGATCACCAGCAATTTTTCATTCAGTTGTTGTTTCTTGAGAAGTCTCAGGTAGTATAACCTCTGCTTGGCCCTTTTGACCTCACCTTTTGAAGGTGAGGACCCCAGGTTAGGTCCTTTTTTATGGTAACACCCAAAAACTTTAAACTGACCACTTGCTCCACTTTATCTCCGCTTGAAAACTAAGGGCTGGATATCTGATCTATTCCTTCTGTAGTCCACTTTAAGCTCCTTGATCATATTGGTGTTATGGATCAAATTATTGTCGATGAAATCAATTGATCCACCTCATCTCGACAGGCAGTCTCATCCCCCCTGGAGATGTTTTATCATCTGAAAATTTAATAATAGTATTACTGGTGTGAGTGGGAAAGCAGTCATGTATATAAAGAGTATAGAGTAAGGGACTCAACACACAATCCTGTAGTGTACAAATGTTAAGAATAAGGGCCGAGGAGGTATGATTACATAATCTGACCCTCTGAGAGCGTCCAGACAGGAGATATATAATCCAAAGGCAGATTGAATGAGAAAGCCCAGGGTCCAGAAGTTTAAACACTAGTCTATGTGGAAGAATTGTGTTAAATACAGAACTAAAATCTACAAAAAGCGTCCTCACTTGTTGAGTTTTTACATGTATTGGGTAGTAGAAATGGGGAGCACTGATCTGTTAACTACAACCATTCTATTTTCTTTCAATGCATAGAAAAGCACTGAGACACACAGAGAAACTCAAAAGTTTATAAAGATTATAGCAAGATTACATTTAGTTCACTTCAAGTGGATTTAAAAAATGCAAATATTCTATAATAAAAAGGGTAGGTGTCAAATTTCCAAATTAATGTGCATTATGCATGTTATACCCACAAGCCCCAGTTTAATTTGTTCTTTGCTGCAATAAAAAAAATGTTAACCTGTGAATATGGAGAAACTGCTGATGAAGGTAAAACTTGCTTTTCAACAGTGACATTCATAAGCATAATTTCTATATAGGGAGTCCTAATTTACAACATTTGGGACTGGAACTTCTGTCACCTAATTTTGCAACTTTTTTTGTTAACAAAATCACTGCAGTTATTAGTTGAATCATAGGGTCATTAAACAAATCCAGCTTTGTGTGAGGGCTGCGACATGTCATCCCATTGATCGCCAGGTTGATTTGGTTGATCTAATTGGCTAGGCATGTCCTCTCCATGTGCGCCCCTCCCAAAGCTGTACACTCAGTGGAAGACAATGACCATCCCAGACAGAAGGGGTGTACCAATCTTCGTTCAAGGGTATACAATACTGCGCTCCCGTTAGAATCTTCAAACAAGCTCCATCCAGCTTTCCTCTTTGACTTTGCTTGTTGGAAACCAGCTGGAAAGGTCACAAATGGTCATCATATGACCCGATGTCACTGTAATCGTCATAAACACATGCCTGAATTATGATCACATTTTTCAGTCACATTTTTCAATGGCATCGTAAATTTGAAGTCATTAAATGAATGGACATAAGTCGGGAATAACTGTAATGGAAACAAAGAGTGAAATCTTAGCTTTTATAACACCATCTTTTGGGTTTATACACAAACTGCATTCATTATCTCCACACAAATCATAGAAAAGAACAAGTTTACAATGAATTAAAAAGAACATTGCAAAACTTTTGCAATAAGAATTTATTCAAACAGTTAATTTAAAATTGATACTGTAATATTTACTATAAGTAGAATCAATACTATTCTTAAATTATGTTGACAGGAGACCTGCCACTAGAAAATCATACCCAATGGATTCCAACAGTATAGAAAGCATTTTAGGTGAAAATGCAATTTGGGCAATAGTCATTAAATCAGCAAATTACTTCCTTTGAGACAATGTTTTAAATAGAACTGAATGATGCCACTTGTTTTATTCATATTTAACAATTGTTCTGATCTATTTTCTAGGTGACTGGCATAAACAAAAATGCAATATGTTTAATATTTTTCTTTTCTTCTACAATGAATTTTATATGACAGAAAGGATAAATAAACTCACTGAAAGTCAACATTTTAAAATATACATAGGCTATCTGAAAAACTAATGTAGGCTACTAATGGTAAAATATATCTGTACATAAATGAGTTGTTAAGTTGTTTTGTTTCCCATGGTTTCATTGTAATTATAGTTCACGCTTGAGAATGCACTGGATTTTTAAAAAAATGAGTACACTAATTAATGAACACATTAATAGTATTTTTATGAAATAACACAAGTATTCAATTTTCTGCAAACTGCACATATTTATGACTTCATATGAACAAATTTAATGAAAAAAAAACCATATTTTTAGCATTTTCACATCTGCATGAAAAAATGAAAATAAAAGCAATTGAAGTTTTGATTTCTCTTACTCTTTTCTAAGAAACAGTTTATCTTCTATACCAAATACAATTCCACTGCATTTGAAATCTACAAATTCAGATTTGTAGATCTACAAATCTACAAATTCAGGCCAGCACAATATAAAACACTTGTCTGGCATGAAATCTCAGTGACATTTTTTTGAGATAAACATAAATGGTGACATCAGCCCTTTGGGATCAAAGATTTGCATTTACAAGCCATCAATTTTTTATTTATTTTCATCTGGCATAATCTACTCAAACCAATTTTCCTTCAATAAAAACTGTATGGCATCATCATATCCATCTTGATATAGTGATTCCATCTTCTCCTGGCTTGGTGGAAATAGAGCTTGATGAAGTCTTAGAAAGTTGCCAATGGATAACTGCATCCAAGAAGGAAAAAGAAGCAGAATATGTTTTTGCTTAATTAATTACATTTTGATATAATGCATTATTTCATACCAATTGTATTCTTGCATTTGCTAAACCATAAAGTGCTTGATTTTGTTAATGGTATATAAATCATGGTGTCAACTTGTAAAGCATTTCCATGCCTATTGACATTGCAAGAAAGTAGGGGGAGAATTCCATGAATACCTTCAACCATGGTCTATCTCAGATTTCTACAGCAGGCCTGTGAGGCGTGAAATTTTACAATCTAAAGCTGGTGGATGTGATTTATGACACAGACACAGGGGAAGGGAGATACAGGGGTAAAGTTCAGCCACCATTAAATGGAAATCAGATCTGGCTCCGTGGCAGGAAAATGCCAAAATGTTGCTCCTAATAAATGACTGGATTTCCCTTGAACTTTGTCTCGAGGCTCGTAAATTAATTAGGACATCTTTTGGGAACCTCACACATGGCTTATGACTTGCAATATTTGAGGCCAATCAAATGGGTGTATTTAATAAACCATGGGGAAGCAATCATGGCTTAGATTGTTGTGAGAACCTCGGGACTGCAAGGTTTCACAAAATTTATCCAACATACAGCACTTAGATATAATTATATTAATTAGAACATTAATTAAATTAAAATCTAAAGCAAAATGGTTTTCCTAATCTAATTATTTTCACCATCCTAGAAAACTGAAACAGAATAGAGACATTTCTAAAATGTTTTTAAAAAGATAATCAAATATTTTGCCCCTTTTGTAACATTTGAACCATGTTTTAAAATATTTATTGGTATGTTAAGCATATAGTTTTCATACCTATTTTTACTTGATGTACTGTCAAGGGAAAATTGCACTACAATTATCCAGTAGTTAACTACTAAATTTTAGTGATTTGATTTTGAAGCATAAAGATCAAATTAATGAACCTGGACCTGATGTCCTCCACCACAGAGGTGGCCAGTAATAGTTTGTCTAATGCAGGGGAGTCAAACCGGTGGCCCATGGGCCAGATGCCTCACATGCAGAGCATGGCCACCCCAGCTTCCCGAAGGAAAAAAACATTACGAAATATCATGATGGCAACGTGACACCATGAGTGACACCCGTAGTCTAATGTCTTACCCTCTTAATCTTCACTGCTATTTTTAATTAGGATTAGGACCAGATTGAAATTTCCTAGCTTCACATTATAATAATAGAGAGCTGAATATAATGTACTGTTCTACTATATATGCCCCAAAATAAAGACACGACTAGATTACTTTTTTTAGCACATCTTCCTAAATAACAAAGAGTAATTCTAAAACTGTGGAATAAATCATTTTCCTTGCATAACTCACCATGATGTCTTGCTTTGCAACTTTAGCATAAATATCCACTCGTCCTTTGTTTTCTGGGCAAATGTCCAGCCGGCCACAAAAAGGAGAAACAGTCACAGTTCGGCCTTTTGACAAGATAGGTAGGCCATTGGATAAGCCACCATCAATCCATTTCTAGTGAAAACAGTTATGCTCTATTAATAATTAATTGCTTTATTACCTGTCTACATACATATCAGGATACCATTTCCTGTGTCAAAACCTTGATTCTCTCAGGGAGAGAATCACAACTCTTAATCTGTATTATGCATTTTTTAATTCTCTAACTTGTATCATCTGTGTGTCATCTATAAAGCCTTATTGTTTCAACATCTAACCTAATTTCTAGTTTTCCTTGTTTCTTCTCTATCCTATTACTTTTAGTCCTTTCTTGATGAAAACTTCTAAACCTGAACACTCTGTTGAAATATTTTAGCTTATCCTTTCAAAGATTTTGGATTTTTTCGTCTATAGGCAAGATGGTTGCAATTATTCTTTTAAAGAGAACAGAAAGATACCGTATTTATGCATGTATCTTTTCAGGTACATAATGCTCTAAATCCGGGGTGTCCAATCTTGGCAAATTTAAGGCTTGAGGACTTCAACTTTCAGAATGTCAATGCTGATGGTAGTCAAGTGGTACTGTGGCATCCAAGGTCCTTGTTATTATTGGTACCATCTTTGCTATCTTTTGCAACAGTTGTTCTACTTCTATATTAAGGTCTTTATATTTTGTGATTTTTCTCTTGTTCTTTCTCTTTTATTCTGTCTCCAGGTAAAGGTAGACCTCAACAAATGGTCATTTAGTGACCATTCAAAGTTACAATAGCACTGAAAAAAGTGACTTATGATCATTTTTCACAATTAAAACCATTGTAAAATCCCCATGGTCACATGATTAAAATTAAGACACTTGACTGACTCATATGGTTGCCGTGTCCCAGGTCAGTGATCCCGTTTTGTGACCTTCTGAAAAGCAAAGTCAATGTGGAATGTGGATTCACTTAACTGTGATAAGAGAGGTCATAAAATGGGGCAAAATTAAATTGACAGTTGTCTCACTTCACAACATAAATTTTGGGCTCAATTTTGGTCACGTCAAGGACTACATGTATGTCAATATTATTGTTATTATTGAAACAGTAATAAAACCCTCCCAACAAAACATTAGAGAGACATATTTTCACAACAAACGCTCACTCTTTTTCTTCTACTACACCACAGAATCATCAATTACATTATTTAAAATTCAGACACTATTTCATCCTCAGGTCTTGTCTCTAGCAATTCACTATTACAAAGAAGATGCTGTAGCATAATGTATAAATCTACTTAAAAGAAATCATAGAGCATGACAAACATGTTTAGGATATATACTAAGTATTTAAACCTGTGTAACTATAGAAGTATTTGTTTTAGATTACTCTACATTGCTTCATGGATCACTGAATTTATAATCAGGATAAATGAATAAGTCTGTTTTCCTTATCCCTTATAAGTCAGTATAAACTCCCACAACATGAAGCTCATTAAAAAAAAGCATTGTAAAAATCCCACTACTATCTGGAGATCAATAATATACTTTAGTGCACAGCATTAAACAATTTTACTCCAATAAAGAGAATCTCAGCTATTTGCAGTATGAGAGACAATGCACAAGAAAAAAAAACAGATGGTCATACAACTGTTGGAATATTTGTAATCCAACACAGCAAACAATATAATTACTAGACTTTTAATGTCTGCACAACAAAAGGAATTTTAACATCTCCATAGCTCAAAATATAGCAAGTTGTGTCTATGACAGCATTCTCTTATGCAAAAAATTATCTAGTTCTCTCAGCCATGTGATATACTCCAGACAAGAAGCATACCCAGAACTACTTGCTCTAACTTTATTGTGAAGTTACACGAACATATTGTTGCAAGTCTGAAAGTACATCTGTTCCTTCTTGCCTTTATAGCTCAAGAAGCTAGGGAGGGTCCCTTCTGAGACGTTTGACACACCTCCATTTCTTCTTTGGGCTAAGCTGCCTCTTACCTGACTTTTATCTAGCATGCAGTTCTTTCTCTTGTCTCCCAAGGTCATTCTCACAAGTACAGAAGTTACTTCCTAGGATGTTTCTAACGAAGAAAACTGCCCATATTGTACTGATATTTTCTTTGCTTTAATAATAACCAGAAGTGTCAATTGCATGAGACATCTACAGTATTTCATTAATTTTAACATCAGGAACATTCCATGCCATTTCAGAAGCCCATTATGAGTGATATCTTTTGCCAAAGCAAATCTTGAAGCATAACATCACATAATTGGTTTTCAAGGCCATAATGCTTCAAAGGTGACATGTTAATACGAGTTCTTAAAAAATCAAATAGTGATGATCAGCCTAATTGATATGAGGATTTTTTGCAACATGCATAAAAAACACAGTATCTAGAATAAGCACTCTAATTATACAGACCTGTCCTTTATAATCCACTGCATTTATTCCTGCATAAAGAGGAATAAAACTGCTGGCTAACAAAGCCTAGAAAACATAGGAAAAATATGCGTAATTCTTATCTTATTTTCTTAACTGAGGAGAAATACTGAATAATAACAATTCTATTTTAACTCTTCTTTCAGACAATACGATTTATAATTATCAAATAATGTACATGTGGCTAGATGGGAGTGAAGAGAAAAGAGTAGATCCATTTTAGAGTTAAAACCCAGGTAATCCCATTTGTCTACAATGTAAGATATATTTTTTAATCCTTTCTGTCAGTACTGGACCAAGCCACCTATATTATCTTAGCATGAGACTTTAAAGAGAAACATTTATGGGTGTTACTTAACAACTTCTTTGCTTAGCAATAGAAATTCTGGTCTCAATTGTGGTCATAAGTTGAGGACTACCCATAAAGGCCAGTTGTTAAGATTTCCAAGACAATTAGGTCATGAATTCCTGCCTATAAATATGTCAACAGTCTTCATTTTTAAAGCAAGGGAGTTGTTCAAGTGAGGAACATGAAGAGCTTGCAGGCAAAAACTAATAAAACCTAAACTCTTAAGACTCTGGAGACAACTGGGTGATTTCACTTATAGGAGTAATATGCAACTTTCCTACCTTAACAAGATCTTCCCTGGAGGCAAAATGTGAAAGCAAATAATTTTTTCCATTCTTAGTACTAGTGACTGATATAAAGAGGCGATTTTCTGCTATCTCATGGGCATTAGGGGGGAGGATTGAATCAATGTAGCCACTATGGAAAAAACAGAGTAAATATTAGTCCACTTTAATAATTAAACAACTTCTAAATAATTTAGAAAAAAACAAATGCTGCATTTCTCTATAGTAACTATCACAAACGCAGTATCTCTGATGTACCATTTATTGGAGAATTTACAGAAAACCAAATTTGGCAGAATAAATATTTACAATCTTACCTAAGTTTTGTCATGAGATCATAACCAGGTGTTAGTGGTCCAAAATAGAGTCTTCTAGTATCTTCAGCAAGTTGGTAGGTAATATTTGTACATTTCTGAAAAAAGTTTAAACAAATGTAAACACAGCTTCTCTCAACACATTAATTCAATCACGTGAAACATTTAACTGACTTTTTAACATATGTATGCATAAGGATACGGATGAATAGACAGACAGATAACAGGGATGTAATTTGGGGAAGGTTTGTTTTTTTATACACTCCAAATCTTTAAAATGCTACATATTAATAAGCAGGCTTCCTAATTAGAATTCATTTAAGAAAACGTAACTGTGAGCCTTATGATTGGACCTCTATTTAATAAAAGAAAAATCATACAATTAAGAAAATATGTAGCCTCAAATAGAGAAGGGTCCAAAATCATGTTACTAGAGTACTCTACTCTTCCACTGGTTAAATAATTATTTTTAAAACTTTTTTTAGTGAAGTTCCTATGATTAAAAAAAGGTGCCTCTCCTACATATACAGTACCTTATATGTATATGTATTATGAGCTTTTGTCTCTTAGAAACCCCATGTATCAAAGTATTAGAACACAGGTGTCAATAGTGCTTTGTTACCAATATTGATAAACGAAGTAAAACTCATTATGTTCCTACCCTCAGGAGACATCATAATTTTAATGAAAGTTATCATATTACTGAAGCTAAAGTAAATGAATATCAACATGGAAGCAAAGAAAGACTTCTGAAATCATGCTAAGAATTGTGGTAAAGAAAAAGAAAAGCTACAGAGACATGGAAAAAAGACAGTCTTTTATTACTTTTATAATGAGCCAAGGTGGTGCAGTGGTTAAAATGCAGCACTGCAGGCTACTGCTAGATCAGCAGGTCAGCGGTTCAAATCTCACCGGCTCAGGGTTGACTCAGCCTTCCATCCTTCCGAGGTGGGTAAAATGAGGACCCAGATTGTTGGGGGCAATATGCTGACTCTCTGTAAACCGCTTAGAGAGGCCTGAAAGGCCTATGAAGCGGTATATAAGTCTACTGCTATTGCTATTGCTATTGCTATAATGTACAGTTTATAAGGTGTAAATATTACCAGTAAATTATCCATTTATGGAATTATAAACTTACATATTTTGATGCCTACTTGACCATGTCATAGACTGATTGTAAATACAAGTAGACATTTTTTTAAAATTCTTATTTGTCTCATAATATTTCAAATGATAAGGATACATCAAAAGCTGCTAATTTATTTCCATTGAACTAATATCTACTTTAATGATGCCTAAATTTTTGTCCAGCTATAGTGTAGTTTCCGAACTATAAAGGATTAGGATGAGCAGAAGAGATCCTGGAATTTATGAAAAGAATCAGTTTTAAATCGAAGAAAACTGTAGGTGACAATGTTTAGTTATTTTAATACACAGACTTTCAATATGTAATTTATTAAGATAAATCTCATTAAAATGCAAAACTAGCTAACAGCTGCAGGTAGCATATGGGCAATCCCTATGATACTGGAATTAAAGTTGGTTAAACAACAGTGATTTCCACCATTGACTTCTCAAACTCTTAAAAGGATGTGACCAAGGTAGCTGCAGTAGCCTTAGTTGAAATATGGCCTAGAGATAAAAGCATGGTCATCTGATTTATAAGTTAACTGTAAACAATAAGCTCAGTGCATAAATCCTGATCAGATGCAGCTGAGCTAGGCTAGTATAAAACTAGGCAATATACTAAGTTAATGAAATACAAAATAAATAAAATTGTATTGTAACCTATAGAACAAAGTGAAGATACTATGCAGATACTTCCCAAGTTATACAATCCAATTTTTGGGAATCAATTCCATTCCCAGCTTCACTTGCACACAAGCACACACCACTCTTAGAATCAAGCCTTGTTCTCTCAGAAGCTACCTCCACTTTTTGTCACTTGCTTGCTATAGTTGTTCATTCTACCACAAACACTTAGGATATACAAACAGTTCTTAAAACCTAAGATTTGTAATAGCAAATCCTATTAATAATCCTAATAGCAAATTTGTAATTACAAGTGCCACATAGGTTGGAAATTATCACCAAACAGTATAGAATTGTTGTCAACTGTACAGACTCACTTTCCATGACTTTGTGGCTGCCCTTATAAATTTCATATTGAATATTAATAAATAACATATTCTAGCACATATAAAGGCTTTTCATCCACATTTAATAGGTGATGAAGGAAGAGCAGCACATGCTGTTACCACACCTATTTCAATCATATTAGTCATATCAGTCCTATTTGCAGACAAGTCTTACTCAGAAATATCTCAGTGACCATTAACATTTCCATATATATGATAGTTGCATAAGACAATTACCTAATTTACTCCACAGGTGAATATGGAACTTACCAGGACTGTGGTGAGTTAATGGTTAATAATTGTCAGTATATACTGGAATCTGCCCTTCATAATGTTTAAGTTGTGACATGACTGGTCAGTTATGATTGATACAAATTTACACGTTCTGCAGCAAATCACCATAGTCATTAAACAAATCTGCAGTTATGAAGCAAACACTGCAGTCATTAAGCAAACAAATGCTTTCCTGTGGGCATGGTTTTGCTAAAAACCTGAAGTGCCAATTTTTGGCAAGACTGCTGTAAAACATCATCACATGATGGCAGGAATGCTGCAAACAGCCATAAATGCAGCTCTATTGCTGAGCGCATAAAGTTCAATGACTGCAGGGGGACAGAACAACCGTTGGAACAACAAATCTGGGTCATAAGTGATGCCAAGTAGGTACATCATAACTTCGAGCAGTCACTAAGTGACTGGTTTTAATGAAGGATACTTGTAGCTTGCTTAATGGAGGTACCTGAAAATAAATCTAATTTTTGTTTTGCAGAACAAGTTAATACTGCAAATTTACAAGCCACAGTAACTGGTTTAGCCAGATGTGCCATGTCAAAATTAACCAGTTCATATTATAACTTATGGTGTTAACATTATATCTTAAGGTGTTATATCAGAACATGTTTTTTTAATCTGTAGAAATAACAACCCTGTTTCTAATCTTCATCATTGTAATCTTTCTTATTTCTTCAAAGACAAAATAAAATACATCTGCAAATGCAAATTAAAATGAGTGAAATCAATTTGTTGTTGCAGTTTTCTCCTCTATAAAGTGTCTTTGCTAACACATTTAAATACATCCTGCGGTTTTGTAACCAGACATTGGTCTTATTTTCAAAAGCTTAGCTGAGATCATCCAAAGCAGGTAGAATTAAGGTGTGTTTTCAAGATTACAAGTTCTTCTTCACAATTACCTCAATACTTTCTGGCACTGTTAAAAGAACAGTGGCAGTCAAAGCTCCTGAAGATGCTCCTGCAAAGGCCTTCACAACCTTCAATAACTTCTTACCATGTCTGCAAAGAGCAGATGCTGCCCCCAAGTGGTAGATCCCCAGAAAGCCAGAGGCCGCAAAGGATAAATTGAGATGTTTCATCTTTGCTGTGGAAAGGAAATTTCAAAAGGAAATAGTTAAGATTTCCCAAACATTTTCTTCAAAATATTACATATATTAGACTAAATTAAAACTGAACAGAGATATAGTGCATTCAGAAAGTATTCAGACCCCCTCTACTTTTGTCAATTTTGTTATGCTGCAGCCTGATTCTACAGTTGTTGAAATTCATTTTTTTTCTCATTAATCTACACTCAGTACCCAATAATGACAAAATGAAAACACAATTTTAGAAATCTCTGGAATTTTATTAAAAAGAAAATATTACATTGGCATAAGTATTTTGTTGAAGCACCTTTGGGAACAATTACATTCTTGAGCCTTTTTTATGTATGATGCGATAAGCTTTGCTGGATTGGGGAATTTTCGGCCATTCTTCCTTGCAAAATCTGTCAAGGTCAGTCAGTTGGATGGCAACCATTGGAAGACAGCCATTTTCAGGTCCCTCCAGACATGTTCAATAGAGTTCTGTCAGGGCACTGGCTGAGCCACTCTAGGACATTCACAGAGTTGTCCCTACACCATTTCTGTGTTGTCCTGGTTGTGTACTTAGGATCATTGTCATGTTGGAAAGTGAACCTTCAGCCCAGTCTGAGGTCCTGAGCACTGTGGTACATGCTGTCAACTGTCCAGTTGGCGAATCCAGAAAAAGAAACTCCTGGGACATTATTTTACTAAGAGTATGAACTTTACTGAATAAATCCACATTGGCACAGAAGCAAAATCAGCTCTGGGCTTCCCGTGGAAAAGAATGCATAGTTCATTCCCCCTTTCCCCTCGGGCCACCCAGAGTCCATTGCGTCCACCAATCACTTCTGCTAATTTTGTTGAAAACCAGCCAGCCACACTGTGACTTCTGCTCCGAGTGTCCTTGAAGGGGGAAACAATGTCTCAAGGGAACTAATGATGCTTGGATGCCATTCCAATTCACCACCACCTTTTCCTTTGTCAAGCTGAGAGCAAAGCAGAATATAGGTGAAAGTCAAGTCAGTCTTGACACAGGTTTTCATCAATGAGGGTATGGCTGTATTTTACTCGTCAGCTTTCTCTCCATGACCAGTCTCTCCTGCTGAAAAACACCCCACAACATGATCCTGCCACCATCGCACTTCACTGTTGTGAGGATATTGGGTGGGTGATGAGTGGTGCCTGATTTCCTCCAGACAGAACGTTTAGAATTGAGGCCAAACAGTTCGATCTTGATTTCATCTGAGCAGAGAATCTTGTTCCTCACAGTCTGAGAGTTTTCAGGTGCTATTTTGCAAACTCCAAGTGGGCTTTCATGTGTTTTTACTGAGAGGCTTCTGACTAGTCACTCTATCATAAAGCCCAGTGTAAAGCTGCAGTGATGGTTGTCCTTTTGGAACTCTGTCCCATTTCCACCCAGGACTTGTGCAGTCAGGCTGACTGACCATCGGGTTCTTGGCCACCTCTTACTAAGGCCCTTCTCCCCTGATTGTTTAGTTTGATCAGGCAACCAGCTCTTGGAAGAGTCCTAGTTGTGCCAAACTTCTTCCGTTTGAGAATTATGAATGCCACTGTGCTCTTACGAACTTTCACTGCAGCATAAATGTAATTGTAGCCTTCCCCAGATCTGTGCCTTGCAATAATCCTGTCTCTGAGCTATGCAGGCAGTTCCTTTGACCTCATGGCTTTTGCTCTGCTACAATATGTATTGTCAGCTGTGAGGCCTTCTATAGAGAGGTGTGTGTCTTTCCAAATCATGTCCAATCAATTTAATTTATCACAGGTAGACTCCAATCAAGGTGTAGAAACATGGCAGCAACTATCAAGAGAAATGGGAGGCACCTGAGCTAAATTTCAAGCGTTGTTGCAAAGGGTCTGAATACTTATGCCAATACTATATTTCAGGTTTTTTTTTATTTTTAATAAATTTACAGACATTTCTAAAAGTGTGTTTTCACTTTGTCATTATAGGGTACTAAGTGTAGATTAATGAGGAAAAATAAATTTCAACAACAGCAGAATCAGGCTGCAGCGTAAAAAAATTGACAAAAGTGAATGGGGTCTGAATACTTTCTGAATGCACTGTAGGTTGTGGTTTATCATTAGGGATAATATTCTCTATCACAATATGTTGGTTTGTGTGCTATTATTAGGTTAAGAGGTATGTTTTCTGTCTCCAATTAACAGCTGGTACTTGGAGGAGATGGAAGAACACATTATAGATAATGTTTTAAATAAACCAGTGGTAACTATTTCAGGTCATATAGGTCAATGCAGAGGGGAAACAACTTAATCATAAATTTTGATTAACATAGCCCACTAACATGGCTATAGACTATCTTTGAAAATCACCAAAATAAGTACTCTGGACTTTCCTAATTCCTTGCAATTTAATTAACTAATTTAAAATAGTGCATAATGGACATTTATTGCAATGCATCTTTTTTTCAGGATTCAAGTAATTAAGTGAAAAATTTACAGTGTAAGGTATCTCAGTACGCATTTCACAGTAGCAAATTTTACCACAGCAAGAAAATGAGATGCCAGGGGATGCTAGTTTGCACATTCAGCTATATGATTAGCCTATTTGGATGGAGAAAAAAACCCACAAATACAACATCAGAGAACTGGTGGTAAAATACTCTAAAGAAAGCATTAAAATATATTAAATAATCAGTACACAACACAATGAGCACAGCTATAGCTTGGAACAAAAGAAAATGATGCTTCTGGTGCAATGTTTGATATTTCCATTTCAGGATAAATTGGAGATGCTTTGCATAAACTCCATAGTAGCATGGATTTACCACTGAGGATTTTATTGATGGTGTCTGGTGTATATATTTTTACTGAAAAGACAAGACTGACATGTATGCTCTGATTCATAAGCATTCATATTATCAACAAAGAAACTGAAACAGAAATGAACGAGGTAAATGAATGCAGGAAGAAATCTGCGATTAGTGCTTAGATTTTTGCTATTATTGCCTTAAAAAAAGGGTTTTCATATAATCTGCTTAATATTTCTAATATTTCTGAGCTCTTTAGGGTTTTCTGGTTTTTCTAAATATTTGCATTGAAAGATATCACACTTTATGAAAGTCCAATACAAAGGGAGCATGAATGAAATAACATCAATATTTAATGGCTTTTTAATTTATTTCATAAACATAAAAATGTTTTAAAAAATGTGCCCGGATGAAAAGATTAATTGGCAATAATCACGCCTTGGATAAACCTCATTGGCTTTGATATTGCCACTGCACAAAGCTACATACATACCAGGATGAAAAAAGAAACTTCGAAGTTAATTCAATTCAATTAAGATGATTTCTATTGGCAGGAAAAAAATACTTCATTAAACCATCAGTTCTGCCATATTGTATGTTTTAGAAAGACAGTGAACAAAGATGGATCAAAATTGACCTTTTAGATAAATACTTTATTTTTAGGAGGTAAGTCCATATGAAGAAGTGGATGGCAATCATAATAGTGCAAAAATCAGGGGTGGGTGGGGTGGATTCATACACAACTATTCATACACAACTCACTATATGCAGCACTTGAATTAGTGTTCATATAGCAAAATTCAGTAGTACATGAGAGCAACTTGTTTATTGCACATGCAATAGTACAAACCATTGTAAAATTCTACAGAAAATAACAAAATTTATAAAATGCATTATCAAGAAAGAGACAGTAGTAATAGGTTAATGACATGTAATTCAATTTTCAATTGGGTAAACAGAATAATGTTGGTGAGAGATTAATAGAATTTTTCAAAGGGAATTCATCAGTTCTTCAATACTAACTTCAACTTCCATATAAATGGACATCACTGGATACACAACACTGGCAATAAATCTATTATAAAAATATTTTATTCAATTTTCACATTCCATTTGCAATCATTTATATACAGGGTATTTACTATAAAAAAAGAAAAAAGAAAAAAGAAAAAGGGAA